AAACACACAAGTTTTATGTAGGAGTTTAACTTGTGGCGTGTTTTTTTCTAATTCTTGGTCACTTCTGCAGAAAATCCCAAGGAGTGATACAATCCAGTAGTTTTCAGATAAAATATCACTGATATCTTTCATGTAGCTGAGGAAAACATGACCGATGTCTCATTAGGCATGAAGAGCAGGCGACATACAGAAAACAACAGGAAGGTTGTATACAAAACACAATGGATGACGTGATTACCATCATTAGAAGCCAAACTAAAATTAAGCTTGTTCGATTCAGTGGCCTTTGACAATTCTGCTCTGATATCTGGGTTGTGGCTAATGACTCTCTGTCTAATGCCTTTCTAATCACTGGGTCACCCAATTACCATCAACTTGTGGGGCCTGAACTGCAGGAGGCTGAGTTCCTCCTCCTCCCCCTCTGCAGCCAGACACAGACTGTGGAGGAGTGAAGGCAGCAGTAAATGGGTCATAATGGATGTAGTGTGCTACTCACCCCCAGACGGGAATATTATGTGGTAAGAGGGAATGCTAACACAGGACACAAAGACATGATGTTCTACACTCGTGTCTTACAATGTTATTTTAATCACAGGAAAGCTCTATCGTATCATATCAAATTGTAAATTGTTGTAAGCCCTATGAGACAAATTGTGATCTGTGAATACGGGCTGTACAAATAAAATTTGATTGATTGATGTTTGATATTAATGGCTCTGCTTTTTTTAGTTTAGAGAAATACGTTTAAGATAGAAAGCCACGTTACAGTATGAGTTACCAACCCATACAGAGATGTGGCTTGCATCTCATGAGCCACATGTGTTGTGTATATAGGTCATGAGAAGTGGATAATTCATTACATGTTGCCTCCCTGCACTTGTATGTGACCGTTAGCTGATTCGACAACTCAGTGTGGAGCACGTTACTAATTACACACAAACTCTTTTCATGGGTCTCTCCTGCACATTTTCTGTTTACATGTGAATTATTAAAGGAAAGTGGTATATTCATCTGAGACATTCTGCGCCAATGTGCAGTTGCACATGTAACTGGTTTACCTCATGTAAGGTATGTACCTCATGGGGCTGTTATGTGAATGAGCTTTACAGATGAAACTGTTTTTCATGCATCAAGTCCCTGATCATTAAGCTGTCGTTATGTCAAGTCACATTTACTCTCATCTCATGAACGGTGTTGGGGGTTAAAAATGCTTTTGTGTCCTTTGGAAATTCTTAGAAAACAATTTCTCTTTGCTTTATATTTTTCGAATTTCTACAGTTAAATGCCTGGGGTGACTAAAACTAAGATTCTCTCTACCTGTCTATAAAAACCTTAGCGATTATGAAGCAATAAGAAAACAATGTCCCAAAGATTTGCATTATACATGTATAAACATAATGTAGTCATTGTGCTACTAATGCAGGCTTTTTCATCATGAAAAAAATCATAAACCAATATTTCAGGGCCAATGTGGAGCAAAATTAACAAGGAGGAAGCATGAGTGACAAAATATTCCAAATGACAAGTTTGACATTTCAAAGTGCAAAATTGACACAAAAATAACACATACACCAGTCGTCACTGTTATAATGGCCAGTACCTCATAACTTTTCTCCCAATATCTAAAAGCTAAAGCTTCAGAGGCTTGTTTTGGCTCCCATGAATATTCTGAGGACAGGTCACCTGATGTTGAATACTTGCCAACATAGCTTGATCTTTTGTCAACCCTTACTAACCTAACCCAAACAATTTAACAGAATATTTTCCTCACTGCATGATGCACTCTGAAGTCTCTGTCTGCTCTAAACTCTGAGAGAATGAAGATCTCCCTGAGGTGCTGGAAGAGGAGTTCAGGAAGATAAACTACAACTCTGCAAAGAAGTTATAAAAGTCAAAGCAGAAGATTTATTATTATTATTATTACTATTATATGAAAGTAACCTACTGTCCCTGTTTGTTTTTTACTTACTGTCCTCGCAAGTGATACTTTCTACAGTTGAGGGTTTCCTGAGGGTAAGAGGTCAGCATCATTTGCAAGATGTTTACATGACCAGTAAGTTTAGAGCATAATACAGCACACTGAGCCGGCAAACTGAGCAGGGCCAACATGTACTGAAAACACAAAAGAACAATAGTCGACCTGTTGTCTTTTTAAAGAATCCAAAGATTATAGAATTTTTTTACCTCCGCCAAGGAGTTTATATTTTCACCTGTGTTTGTTTGTCTGTTAGTTATCAGGATTATACAAACACTTCCACTAAACTTGGTAAAAGGACGTAGCAAAGGTCAGGGGAGGACACGATACATTTTGGTGTTCCAGGTCAGGAGGCTGATTCAGAGCAGTTTTTTCACTTACTTTAACATTGTGACATTGGGTGTTTTTCAACATTTTCATTGATTTATCTGAGAATAATTCATGGATCTTGATGAGAACAATCAGTCATATTGAGGAGTGTGTGAAATTTGGTGCAAATCCAAATAAAAATCTGGATCTAGAGAAATTAAATGTGGCTTATTAAGGGGACTGTTAGACCTTGGCGGAAGTATATGCCCTCTGAGTGTTAAATAGATTAGGCTTTCTGGCTCCACATTATATATTGTTCATACATGATTACCTGTGTTGTTGTTTTCCCCTTTAATTTCCTCCTAACACTATAGTACTATTATTGTATGTTCTGTTTTTGTGTCTTTTGTCAGCACAGATTCATTTCCAGCAACTCAGTGTTGCTTTGTCAGTGCAGCATCTTCAGTGATCGTTATGTTTTCCCTGGGACTGCAGACCAGAGGTGGCACAAATAAGAGGTAATCTGCTGACTTCATCTACGTCCTCTGCAGAAGAATTTGTGCACATGAGCGCATCAGTTTAAGCGAAGACCCACTCGCACACACGCAAACACACAGACAGTGTGAGGAGCCTGAAGATTTCCTCCTTAAACTTATATGGCTACACTGAATGATATAAAGTACTTAATTTGGCAACAACTGTAAAACATAAAATGAGTGATGAGTATTTGTGTTTGATGCAACAATGCGCAGGTGAATGATTCATTTTGGCAGAAGTTGAAAGGAAGAAAGATACACCAATGTTCCTCATTTGATTGACTCCCTTTATGATCCATACATAGAAAAAAAACATATTATGGCCCATGTGAGACCTCAAAAACCTTCGCTAAAATTGAAACACAACTACAGGTAACTGTGATGTCTATATAATAATTGCATTCTGAAAATAATTATTTATAAATTGGCAGCAAATGTCTGCAGTCCTGTGTTACCACAATGGGTTGAGGTCTGTGCAAGCAGTCTTCCTCTTCTCTTGACAGTAGCAAAAGAGTCTGTATCCCAAAGTACACGAAGAATCCCGTATTGCAATATGGAAAGCTCCTTTAAATGTTTTGGATATTTAGATAAAACGTGTAAAGCACAAATTTTTCCCACCCTGTTTTTCTCTGTATAGGCACACATTTCAAAAACATCTACAGTGTTGTGTCTAAGTGATGTGCTGGCAAGAACAGGAGTCAGTTGATAGGATAAGAAACAAAGAAATACTTTTTTCACGTCCTTGCCCTGATGCCCTTTTTCCCATGGGCTTTTTTCACTGCAGCTCCCCCTCTTGTAGTTCCTCTGGAGGTTTAGATTCTTCCTGAGGAGACACGGGCCACTCTGCCTCCTCCACTTCCTCCTCAGGATCCTCTCCTTCCAGCAGCTCCTCTCTGCTGCCTGGCTCCTCTTCCTCCTCATGAATAGCCAGAATAGGCTCAGCTACATTGTTTAAATGGACAGATTCTGCTCCTTGGCCTTGTTTCTGGGTCTCCTCTTCAATCACCTTCTTCCACATCTCATGGTTCTCCAGCAGGTGCTGGGTGATCTGACAGAAGACGTTCATCCTTTTCTTTGGAGCTGCTTTCTCTGCAAAAACCGAAAAAACCCAAAACTAAGTTCATTCATCTTAAAATGAATGTACAACAGCAGCCAATTATCAATTTAGTCATATTTATCATACGTGCATCGAGCTGTTTTATGTTGCAATATATTTATGATGAAACCAAATAAGAAAACCAATAAATTAAATATAAATAGCAGGTTAAGCTTAAATAGGACAGGATAAAACAGCCAATAATTGAAAATTTAGCAATGTGTTTTAACGTTTCTTTTGACCCTTATTGATTGTGAGAATTGCTCATTCATTATAAAAAATGATATACATATTACTCAAATACATACATCATGTCACTTCAAACTTGTCCAGTGGCATTCTATAAAAGGTTGAACATTTTGCTTTACTTTAGAAACATAAAATTTGAAACTGCAATGTTTCTAAGTTAACAAAACATGTTTCATGTTCAGTGACTAAAGTTGTTATCAGTTTGTGAATGTCCTGCAGTACTGAAAATCAGATTGTATGATCAAAACCATAACATCTATTTGTTTTCTATTTATATGGCAATAGCAGAGAAATTAATATAGAACCAGGCATTCTAGGTTTGGTTTCAGACCGCAGTGCTTACGTGATGCTTCTGAGCTGGTGGATGTGTCTTCTTCTGCAGTATCCTCTTCATCCTCCTCATCATTCTCCATCTCTGGCTCCTCTGCCTCTGGGTTGGGTTCCACCCATCGTCCAGGCATGAGGCTGGCTGAGTTGTATGAGTTGCACAGCGGTCCCACGATGTGCGTGATGAACGATTCCTGGAGTTTGGCCAACTGTGGTGCTGCTCTGTCCATGAAGGGGCTGACAGGAAGGCCCAGACTGGACTCCTCATCTCCCTAAATAAAGCATTAGACACATTAGTGCAAATTAAACACCAGCTAAATGCAGTGATGGCTTGTCAACACAGGGCGCTGAGGCGCTACGTCATAATACTATATAAGTCATATTTATTTTCAGTCTATAACTAATCAATGATTACACCTCAGCTGCCAAGCAGAGGTCTGATTTCACAGAGGAAATTTACTTAGTTACTTTACTTAAAATATTCATGTATCTGTATTTTACTTCAATAGATATATTTTCAGGCACTTTCCACTTTTACTCAATATCTGACATCATTCTACTCCACGTTTGTAATGCTTTGTATTCACATTGTTTTAATTTTAGTTTTTAAAAGTGATCAATTATAAGAGAGGAATTGATCAATTCATTTGATCAGAGCAGGCGGGCATTAAACTCCGCGTCCTGCAGGAGCAGCACCCCCGGTGAAGAATCATCCAAGATACATTTGCTGAGACTCAGCCATAATCATGTAGCATTGATGGACGGATGGATGGATGGATGGATTGATGGATGGATAGATCAGTGGATGGATGGATGGATGGATGGATGGATGGATAGATCAATGGATGGATGGATAGATCAATGGATGGATGGATGGATGGATGGATAGATGGATACAACACATTTTGCAGCACTGTTTGCAGAGCCCCCAATCGAAAAAACTCTGTTGTTTCCCCAGGAAGGGACTGTTGCTTGAGGGTATATCAAGTATATTTAAAAGTAAGTACTAAGTTACTTTTACACAGGTAGTAGTTCATGTAGTACTTATCATTACATTTAAGAACTTTTTGTTCATTTATTTGTACTTTTACTTGAGTAAAATATTTGAGTACTACCTCCACCTCTGATGCCAAGTGATGGGATGCCAAACCTCTTTCAGTCTTCAACTTTGTATTTTCCTGCTTTTGCTTTTGCTTTCCTTGTCTTTTAAATGAACATTTTAAAATGCTAGTTTTCATTCAAATTATTGTTGTACACTACAGCACTTTGAATTGTAATTTTAATGTTTTTCCATGTCTTTATAAAACCCTCTAAATTACCTTGTGTCTGAATGGCACTGTACAAATAACTTTGCCTTTCCTTAGACTTCATTGCTCGGCCTGTGCTCCGAGCCCTGACCTACCTGCCCCAGAGATAATAAAAAGGAGGTGCAGAGACTTACAGTAAAAGAATTAAACCAAGGTGAAGAACGACCTGCTACGATAACCCCATTGACATTTGCTATAGCATTAATCATTACACAGAATCCACGTGGCGAAGTCAGGGAACATTTATTTTACATAAAACCTTGGGAAGACTTTGAGATGTCTGTAATTTCCTGATTGGTTCCAAGAAAAAGCCATCACACTCACATACTCATTTATTTATTCATAATCTGATCTATTATTCCAATTCTCTATATGTTTAATTGTATGCACACCTGTAGACAAATGTGCTTTTGTACCATCTGTGCACTGAATAAATGACTCAGTACTTTGCGTTCAGCTAGACTTGGAGTTAATTAACTTAGAATGCTGTTTCCATTTCCCTGTATTTAGTCTACAATTACACATCCTTTACAGGAACCTGTGACAGATTTACATCTCAATTATTTTCCAGGCAATTAAAAAAAGGGCCTGTGTTATTAAGTGTTACTCTCACAAATAAATTTACGGTTAAGACACGCTCGCGTTGGAAACGAGTCAAAAGCGCCTGTGTCCACGGTCTGTGATGTCCAAATGGATGGAAATGAGCAACAGCTACAGCAAGGTTTCCTGGTTGCCTTGGTGACTGACTGCAAGTGCCAGTCCCCTACACTGTATGGTACAATGACTCTGTTCTGCATTGAGCTGCTAATGTAAAGGACATTGAAAGTCTTCAATGGATGGGATTTCAGACAGATTTGCAATTTGATGGTATTTCTGACAGGTGAACAGAAATAAAGGGGACGAGGTCCATCTGGCACCATGAATAAATCCTGAACAATTCAGAGGCATTACAAGGTTGTGTTTTGAAAGTTAATCCTTTACATCAAGTGCTTGTCTGTATTTGCTTTCCATACATGCTGCAACATGTATGCTGTATTGCTTTGCTGCTTTTTTCCATGGTCGTTGGTCTCTCAAGACTGTCGGTGTAATCAGAGTCTGCTCCACCTCAATGACAGTTGCCTGGGCACCCTGCTTGTGTCAACACATTTTGCAGCACTAAAACTATTGTTCCTGAAGAGCATTTCTCCTGTGAGGCTCCGACTATGTATGTCTCATCCCATAGACCTCAGAGTCTTGTAACAAGCTGGCTGTGTAGCTGAAGTAAATGGTAAATAAGGGCCTGAGCATTCTGTGCTTCACCCAGAGGCAATTAGCAGAGATTAGCAGCCATTTAGTGACGTATTGTAACAAAGGTCACTGGATGTGGAATTAGGCTGAAAGCTTTACTCAATTCTGTTTGTTACAGCTGCACTGTTTATCTAAAATGAGGCTAAACATGATGTTATTATACTGACAATAAATGCATTTGTTGAAGATGTAATGGAATTTTCATAGACACTGTCTCTTGTCCTCTCTGGGGCAGAGTGCAATAGGCTGTTGTGTTTGGGAAGTGCGAGAGCTTGGCGAAGGTCAAAGCCTTTACTCCCTAGACATCACAGATATGAGACTGCGTAAGCAGCACTACTGTCTCCATAACTAGAAAATACATTTGATTGTTTAGGAACAAGCACACCCATAGATTAAATGATCTGTTGGGGTTTAAAGTGTGACTGCAGGAAAGCAGACTTCACAATATGAGAGAGCATCATGCACAGATGTTGTATGGATGAATTCTGATTTTCTACTTGGCCAAGCTCAATAAATATTCCAGCATAAGACATCAAAGGGTTCCTGAACGCTTTCTTCATTGATGAGGTGACCATTGATCAGCAGATTTTCCACAACAGCAGATAAATAGATACTTCGCTCATTATTATTGGTATTGAGAGAGGGAGGGAGGGAGAACTACATTTACACCTGCGTATGTTGGAGAGATTAAATTAAAAAAAAGGGAGTAAATGTGAATTGTCTGTCAGAACTGTGACCAAATTAAAGGAAATAATTAGATTTGGTTTAAGAATGAATACAGGGAAGCTATCTCAACTTTAATCTTACACAAGTTGCTGATCTTATTGATTAAAAGTTATTATCCGGAACAGTGGCCTTAGAACTGACTGAACTGCTCTGATAAAGTACCAATGTACCAATGATTTTGACACAGCTTCGTACTTTGGACTTTTCTCTAAACTTGTCTGGTTAGATGTTTCTGCGTCATTTGACACCATTAATCACAAACATTTTATTACTGACATTGGAACATTTGATCGGGATTAAAGGAACTGCACCAGACAAGGTAGATTACAGTTTGCTCATGTTAACAAATGCTCTTGGACACAAAAGTAGGTCATGGAGTTCCACAGGGCTCAGTGCTGGGACCAATACATGCCTACTTTAGTTAATACTATCAGTAAGCACCAGACAAATTATCATCACGCATGTGATATAAAAAAAAAACTATTTTTGATTAATTACTTCTAAATTCTTTAGTTCTTTGTAACATTTCAACAAATTGAATCATTATGTATTTGTAACGGACCTTTTGTCTAGCTGTTAAAGACACATTTGGTGGGTGTAATTGTGGCCTCAAGATGTCTACTCTGCAGCTCTCATGCCTTCATATTGTGCCCATATATAATGTTTTTATGTAACATTTTTTCTTGTTTAGGGAACCTGAAAGATTTCAAAATAAAATGGGTCACAAGTCAGCAGTGAGGTTGACAAGATGTATAGTATAGTATCAATTCTTAGGGGAACATCACAAGTGGAGATAAAGGAGTCTTTTTTGAATTATTTAAATAGATGGAATATCATTGTTTATTTATCTACTACGTGTTAAATTATTCTTGCCATAGCTTTACTGATGTGGAAATGGGAGTAGCTGGAAGAAATTATTTATATTTAACATAAAATCTAAATAAAATCAAAAAGATAAAGACTTTGTTTTTGGCTTCAAAAACACTAGAATTCTCACAAAGGAATAATTAACCTTATAGAAATACAGATTTTCCTCTGCATACAAACATGACAGTGCACTGATATTCAGTTTAGCAAAAAACAGACAAGGTCTTAGTTTATGATTCACAGACCTGCTCATAGAATTCGTTGACAATGCCCTCTGTCCACTGCAGGTGCAGATCCTTGCACTTCAGAGGTCCGTTGATGTCAGCCAGTTTAATGCACATCTGGCACACCAACAACCTGTCATTCTCATTGGACCAATCGATACCTGTAGATGGATCGTCACCCACCTGATGGTTCGACAAATAGAAATGTTGACATTGAACATATTCAAACATGTCAGGTTGTGGATGTTACGTAACTGTGATACAATTGATTATGATTAAAGATTGGGTATTGGGGTAATGGGTTCTAACTCTTAAAGTGATAGGTGATACTGATGATTTCACATTTGTGCACAGAAAGTGCAGTTTAAGATAAATAAGGGGTAAGGGTTGGTGCGCTAAACAAAAAAAACAAACGACATTGCACTTCCTGGTACTCAACATAGTCTGACGTCAACTGGATGAGAATGTCTAGAAAGTTGAAAGACAGACAGACATATTGTCCAGTACAATGGCCTTAGAATTGACTGGACAGCCCTGATCAAAGACAGTAATGATTTTTACACGGCCTCGTACTATGGACTTGTCTCTATACTTGTCTTGTTAGATCTTACTGTTGCATTTGACACTATCAATCACAACATTTTTATTACAAATATTGGAACATTTGATTGGCACCAAGAATCCAGTTTGTTCATGTTAAGAATCGCTCTTCCATGAAGGTTACTGATGGAGTTCCACTAGGTTCAGCATTGGGACCCATATTTTTCATTTTATATATGCTCCCTTTAATGGGTTCTGGCTCCTAAAGCAACATACTGTGTTGTCACTAGGTACATTTTGTGATTTTGTTACAGATGAGGTCACAGTTGTGCACAGCAAGTGCAGTTTAAAATAAATAAGGGGTTCTGATGGGTTCTAACAACCGCTCAACAAAAAACACTGAAACTGCACTTCCTGGTAGCCTAACAAATATGATGTCAATTGGGTGAGTGGTTGTCAAGAACAGACAAAGAACGTACGAACAGACGGACGTATGGACAGACAGACAGATAGACAGGATTTATTAGCAGGTTATCTAGAGAGTTCATACATGCCTGAAATGTGCTTTCTCTTATAGAGGAAACAACCACTCCCAGTTTCTGTAATATATAAGTATGATATTCTCTGGATTAAATCAGTCAAATCTTAGATTATCAACTGATTTCAAGGGACATGGCCGCATTCACACATTTATGTTAAAGCTTGCTTTAATCTACATAAAGTTCAGATTAATTTATTATTTCTAATTAAGCCTAATGAGCTTCAGAAGGATGAACACTGATTCTCAGAGTTTTTGTGATGCTAATCTAATTGTGGAAATTGAGGAGATCCTAACTACTTCACGGAAAGCATTATTTAATTCCAGGAAGAGCAGAGTGGGACGCACTACAGTGAGAAACATTACTTTAGCTGCCAAGCCAGCGAGCTCAATGCTAGCTGACAGGCCTTGGGCCATCAAGCACCACCACTGTACTAGTATTCAAAATGGAAAAACCAGACACACTCAAATCCAAAGCCAACTTTCTGTCTGCACAGACACAAGTTATTGAAAAGCTGCGGGGAGCTTTGTGTGCTGAATATATTGCAAGTGATGCAATGCTATGCACAAACAATCCTGTTCCTTTGAAAAAAAAAGTTCTTTCAGCGAATCAATTTTTAACATTAAAAGAACTGAGGGATAAATGTAATTCAACAAGCCATGAACACTAACAATGTAATGTTAACAGCAAATTCAATTGGTATTATTCATCCATAACATTTTGACTTTATATCTAAGGACAGGGATTCATAACTTAGTGTTGGCATTGGCTTAAAATCATCATTAAAAAGGTAAATAAAGAATCATATACATTTTTAGAGTAATGATTTTGTTCAATAGCCTATACATTTTAAGGGATTTAATCCATAAACCCTCCAGATATAAAAAATCATATATTTTCAATATTTAATAAAAAAATAAAAAACTACCTTGGCATTGAACTCAGCAAGGAAGTCAAAGTGCTTCTTCAGATCAGTGGCCAGTATGGCCTCAATCACCAGGAAACGGAAACGCTTGAATGCCACATGGTCCAAGTTGACGAGGAAGTTGTACTCTGGCCTCGACATGAAGAGGTTCCAGGCTGAGGCAGCGTGGTGGTTTTCCAGAACGGATCGATCATTGTAGAGCACTGCCTGTGAACACACGCAAACACTTCACATCTACCATAAACAGTGCAAACATGTTTATACTGTATATAAATAATCCATCGCAAACAGAGAAAAGTATTGTTAGTTTTATAGTTTTTGGAATTATGGCTAAAATATGTTATTTAGAATTGTTTCAAATTGTATTTGATTTCTGGAAACCATCTCCTGACCCTCCCTCTGTGTCTCGTGACCCCCAGGGCTCCAGACCCCTAGTTTGGAAACCACTGATGTGTATAAAATGTAAAATGCATTATTGTATATTACGGGCTTCGATACATAATTCGCATTTTTACTTTTAGTTAACCTTTAGTATACTTTTAAGGTATACTTTAAACTATTAAGTAAAACATTGGATGCAGAACTGTATTTTAAATAACATTAATGTTACCATGCTAAGATAGAAATGAAATATGCTGAGACAAAAAAATCTTCATCCAAAAAGTCCAAAGTATGACACCTCAACATCTGTCACAAGCAATGAAGCGTGACTCTTATTGGTGATTGTTCAATTACACTGTCAAAGGCTGACTTTTTTGCCAGAAGTACACATACTGGAGGAAAAATGCCAATCAAATGATCAACTTTTTTAATTTCAAAAACCAAAAGCGTGTGACAGTAAGTTCAGAGATGACATTTCACATTCTTGCGTCTAATTCAGAGGCTTATGCAGTGCATGAGTACCTGCGGGGCACTAGTTGCCACAAGGAATGCGTTGGTCCGCCCCGGGTGGTCGTAGTCGTGCATCGCGGCGGCCACATAAAGGGCCATGAGCTCCAGAGCAGGTATGAGGCCTGACATGCAGCCGTAACCGTCTTCTGACACAGTGTAGGTCTTTGAAACCAGGAAGCCCATGTGACTGTGTGTTATTCCGCTGTCAGAGTCTAGCCATGGGGAAGACAGACAATGTGGGTGAGGAGCAGGGTGGCAGAATTTATACAAACTGACATACTGTACTTTACATGTACACACACACAGATACACACACACTTGTGCACACATATTTAAATCCACTTATATGTGGATCAAAGGGATGGCCCCGGTGAGGCATACAAATGAGGTTATGGAAATATGGGTGAGAGGGAACTCTAATCTGCCTTCAATTTCATGCTGTTCTAGACTTCAAATAGAGTTTGGTACGTAAATGCAAGAGCCAAAAGCCTGTGTGAGATAAGAAAAACTGTGTGTAGGATAAGAACACACACTCCTGTAGGTCTGATGCTCTGTCATGACGGAGGTGGCTCACAGTGATGCTGCAGGCACATAGAAAGAAGTAATCTAAATACAATAGCCTACTTGTACAAAACCCTCACAGTCATATGTTGCTTTAAGTAAAAGTTAAATAAAAAGGCACTCAATTCTTCTTATATGGCATCTTAATTGATATTACCAACTTCAAACACACTTTTCTGGACCTGATGGTTTCACATACACACCAGCAGTCGACACAAGGTCACTAGTCCACACACCTGAGTCACTGGCAGAGCTGTGGTCGGTGACGAGGCTGGGCAGACCGGGCACAGCCTGCGTGGTGAGGTACCAGACTGCATGGAGCACGTCTGTGGCATGGACCCTGTTGTGATCTGGGTCAGGAGAGAAAACAAGTCTGCTCAGTGTGTGCAACCTTCTCCACCAGGTCGCACTGTTGGGCTACTTGTAAAAACACAGGCTGCCATACATCACATGCCACTAACGCTGTGTGATGTTTCCCTCTTGTGGCTGGTTTTGTTTGCTACAGCCGCAAACAGGATCTAGATAAACTGAGCAAAAATGAAAAAGATTAGAGGAAAGAGGTGTTGAGGCTTACATGGTATGTCTCTGTAACCATTCTCGAGGGCGTGGAAGTAGTTCATGAATTCTGTTACAGGAATCTTGAATGTCTCAAACAGGCCAGTGTCTTCAAAGAGCCTGTAAGAGACCTGAAACACAAAGTAATCAGTGTCAGAGTCTGCAAACACCAGCAGGTACAAATAAAAAGTTTTCAAAGACTTTGAATTTGGCTTTAGTATTATAGTATATAGTATACACACATACTTTATTATATATTTGTCTATTTATTTATAAATAACAATGTATTAGGGCCAATTAAATTGAAAAAAATGTGTTGTATTTTATGCTACGTGTCGTTTTAGAGGGTGAATATTCAAAGATCAGTCTGTGGCCTGTGTTCAAACGAGGAATGTGGAGCATCTTGTTATACTCAAGTGTAAGTTTCACACAAAAAAAACATTTAATCTTTTGGCTCATTGGCACCAAGTAATCATAAGTAATAAGTTTGTGCAAGACACTGATGTATTCTGATGAAAGAACCACACAGAAGTGGAGGAGGAAATGTTTGGGACGGGACGACTGTGAGGATATCATCGGTTACATCTGTATGATGTTCAAAGGGGTTTCTTAGACTTTGGATCCAGAAGAAGTGGAATTGTGGTGAGCATGGGTTCTCTTCTTGCAGCCTATTTCACAAAACATGTTTTTTTCCCGGCCCCTCTTTTTTTCAATTTTATGACTTTTTTCACTTCAAATTACATCTTTATTGTTATAGTATTGTGACTTTCTCATTTATGACTTTATTCTCGTGATGTAACGATAGTATTCAGGAAATGAAAATATTACTCAGCATGACAGGTTCCTAACCCTATATTCCCCCTCCCTCTGAGATCAGTGGTTGATTCTCTCAGGTGCACTTACCTGACTGAGGATCCGTCCACATTTCCCACTGGTCTTCTCCATCAAGCTGAAGATGGGGAAGTTCCAATTGTTTAGCTGACTCATCAGAGGCTCTAGGTCCTCCATTACTAGTGGCTCTGGAGCCAACATTGGTTTGTCCTGTTCAAAATCACAAACGTGGTTAAGATGGAAAAATGATATATGTTTTTGCTATTCTTAAAAACAGTTACAGTGTATCAGAGACTGTTAATATGCCTGAAGTCGGCCTCACTGTACCTCTGGAGGTATTAGTGGATGGAGGATAACATTCTGAGCAGGGTTTTTTCCTTCCTCTGTGTCCTCCTCTGTATGTGCTACATCGCTGCTATCACTGTGGTTGGCTTCGTGGGTACTGTCATAGTCTGATGACGCAACCACTTGGTCCTCTGCTGGTAAAAGAAAAACAGAGATGTCACAGCACCGAAGGGAAAAAGTCCCTTTAAAATCTCTTTTTAAATCTCTTTAAACTGAAGCACATCAGCAGGTTTTTTTTGAGTTGTGGTACTTTCCACTAATCCTGGTTTATTATAGTTGGTTAATATCTGCTATCCACAAAATGAAAGTCTCAGAGATGATGAGGGCTCCTGTTCATTAACACTAGATCAAATTGATTATTGCTACCACGCCCCCCACTCATAACATATCTTGGTAGATGTGGATGGTTTTATAACCTGTGCATCTGTATCATCAGTGAAACTGGGACATTTACAAAAATGATCGAATTGCTGAAAATTGGTGAATTGAAGAATTTCTTGCCCTGTGCCCTATACATGACTAAAATCTACTGTTTACCTTTTACTGACAAAAACCCCAAAAAAATCCAGAAATGCAAAATACATTGGAAATACCTTTTTAAAATTAATTAATTAATTTTCACTATAACACCAATACAAAACTCTAATTTGTTAATTTTAGGTTTTATGCATCTGTTTACTATAGAACAGAAGAGCAGATTCTGTTTCTTTGTGTTTGTTTTTAAGGAAGTTTACACAAACAAAACTGAACACATTTCCCCAAGCCTTGGTGGAAGGATGTGATATGGGTCAGGGAAGAACCCGTTAATGTTTGCTGCAGATGGGAATCAGGGGGCAGATCCAAGAATCCTTTTTTCACTTGGGGGGTGATTTTCATCATTTTCACCTTTTTCTCAGGAAATAACTCACAGAAAAAAAAAACATTCTGTACTTTAAATTGGTTGTTCTGTCTGTTGTATATATTAAGCTATGAAATCAGTATGTAATGAATGCAGTTAGAGGTAGAGAGAACCACTGTGAGACTGTATGTGCTGTTTGCCCACACTCTTCCCATGCTGCTCTGAGGCGGTAGTTGTAATGTGAGAAAGAACAAAGAGTGACAGCGTACCTGTCCGTGGTATCCTGTCTCCCTTGTCTATAGAGCCCTCCCCATGGCTCAGTTTGATGTATGGTCTCCCACAGCTGGAGAAAAGATGGGTGTTAGAGATAAAGTGCAAGGGAGGACACGTTCACTCATTTCACTGCATAGCACACGATATCCCCTGTAGTAACACTCAGAGATTTGCAGCTGATGTTGTTTTGCATCTCCACATTTATATGTCAGCTATAATCAATTTCAATGACTAAATATAAATGTTCTATGCTAGAGGCTCCACACTGAAACACAAAGTTAAAATCCCAAAACAACATATTATCATGATCTCTGCTCTGACATGTGCACCCACATGTGTTTTACAACATCTGCTGCCATCAAAAGCAAGAATGTTTTGTAGATTTTGTAGGATAAGATCAAATGTAACTTGTGAGCAAGTTTGGTGTAAGTAATAATGTGGATTATTTTAACTAGCGGGTGTTGTTTGGCAGGGCAGGTAGTTAAAACCCAGTCCAGACATCCAAATGAACAGTGAGAGCGAACAATTACAGAATAGTACATATGTGTGTTTGCTTGGAGAAAACAAAATGTGCAAGCCATTGATGTCGGTAAAGTTGTGTCAAATAATTGAAAACAACGCCATTCGCTACATCTGTCTTTCATGTCTAACCAGTCGGCTGAAGTTGTCAATAAAAAAGAAAAAACCTAATGGGATTCCTACTGTGCTGTCCCCACATGAAACAGATGTTCTGCAGATGCTTCAGAAAAAAACAACCTCTCATTAATGATCTAATGGATGCACAGATCATCACAATGCAATGGGAATACAAAACAAATGCAAAACAGTTGCTGCACTGACGACGGTATAAACAACTCATTAGAAATGGAGCCCAGCCTCTTTGAGATATACGACAGAGCGCTGACAGCCACAGACACGGCGTACTGCTGCAGCCACAACCTCAGAGACAGATGAAAATATTCACATTTACTGACTGGTTTACAAATCAAGCCATAAATATTGTTTATTACAGTGTACTGGTTAGTTCCCCGTGTGACACCAAGCGGGAGCCTCCCGAGCTGCTCTCAACAGCTATCCCATGTTTCTCGGACTGAGGCCACTGTCAGGCTGTAGGTGGTTCCAATTAAAATACCTCTCCCTAAATGTTGTAAAACCTGCCTATGCGGAGCAGGAAATGCCTGCCGTTAGAGCGTGGTGTCACAGGGAGCACAAAGGCCTTTAGTGTGTCTATCTCCTTCTGATAAATTGTTTCTTGAACACTTTCGAGCTGTTCCCGCCCCGTCTAATGGTCCTGAGGCCCCAACAAAGGAAGTTCTGTTGTGTTTGCACGGCCAGGTCGAACCACCGTGTGTAATGCCTAGCAGGTGTGTAATATAAAATAGTTTGATAGTTTGGCGGGCGAACAGTTAGTACATTATTGTCAGGGGGGTCTGGGCAGGCAGCAGCGCTTGGCATAAAAGGTTTACTTTAATGAAAGTTGAAGAACTGGCAGACACTCTTCCTATTCTGCTAATGCAGCAGAATAACCTCGGCTACTGACATTGAGCCTTCAGCACAGAATATAAATAAGAGGGTCGGCCATTTTCACTGGAGGAATCTGTCAGTCAGGTATCAAGTGACTCTGCTTTTATCACAGAAAAACCTCTTACACGTAGTTTCAGCGGTTAGCTCTGCAGTTACAGTAATTTATCTGGTCCACTGAGATATGCCTACATTCCTCTGTGTGTGTTTTCGTTTCAACCATGTCTCCTACAAATGACATCTGTATGCTAATAATTTGATTTGATTTTTACTTTCAGAAAATACCATATCTACTTCCTGCAAATGTGCTTTTCAGTTAGAGAAATCAGAATGTAATTTACATGGCATCAATCTTCATTCCGATTGTATTGATACTATACTATTTGTTTTAAATGAGTATGTAAACATAATCTGATGGGTAGTTATATGCAACTTTTAACAAGAACCAAACAAAGATCACAGGTCAAACTTGCTCTCTTGGTTTATCCTTAAAAAACAAATAGTGTTGTGTTTTCCAACAGTCAACTGGAGTCTGTCTCTGGAGTGAAAAACACTCCTGTTCTCATAAACTCTAAAACAAACACAACTTGGAATTCTAACTGTGAGTACGAACCTCCATCAAGTTAATTATGCTGCAATAGGAAATACTGTATAAATTGCAACATTGTCTGACTTCTTCTGAGAACAGCCCCGCCGCCTCTCCTTCACCTCTGCTGCTTATCTTAATGTTTCGAGCCATGTAATAAGCTCTGACTGGCCTCTGCCTGCCTGCCTTCCTCTCTGCTGCAGTTTAACTCCCACATTTATACTCAACCACTCAGCAGGTTGACAGATTACTCTTGGTTCAGAGCCTGAACGGACAGTGCCCAAGCCACGATAAACACAGGAGCCATTATTTCTGTTTCCAGTAATCTACCTACAGTCCAGCCAGATGACGTGAAGAAGATAACAGCACAGTGGCCGGGGCCCGAAGGGAAATGGAAGGTACTCAATCGGCCCCCTTTTTTAACCGAGTCTGTCCGATTAAAAAAAGCAGATATTGTGGCTTTGAAGTCGGTGTTATTCCTTCTTAACGCCGTACGTCACAGAGAGCTGACATGATGGAAAAAAAGACGGCAGAAAAAAGAGAAGCCTAATGTCCCAATTAAGATTGTAGAGATTTGATGATGGAGCAGAGAGGAGGCAATTGAAGCCATGTGTTCTTTCCCCACCACTCATTACAATCAGCAGTGGTTATGGTGTTTTGTTTGATCTGTGAATAAATGCGTTTGTTACTGCCGTCTTGGCCGGGACTCAACAGGGATAACACTGACAAACAGATTCTAGCGTGTAAACACTCCCTGCTACTCTTGTGATTTAGTGCAATGTTCGAGAACGCTAGGGCCAGCAGGTTGCCTATTACTACACAAGTATGATTCCAACAAGTTTTCTTATTTTAAATATCTTTATGGGGAACATTTATTGGACAGGACAGACTAAGTATGAAAGGTGGAGAGAGACGGGGAAGACGTGCAGCAAAGGGCCACAACCTGAATCAAACCTCCAGCCGCTGTAGAACACTTGAGCCTCAATACAACAAGTTAACGTTGTTAATAAAGTGTCTTCTAGATTTGGACCAGATATCTTATTAATTATATAAAACTAGACTGAGAGACCCTCAGCTGCAGTTCAATAATCCCAGGGTCTCTGTTCTCTCCAATTGTGTCTATATAACCTGTGCCAGAAGCAACAGCTGTGACAGTGTGTTTTAGTGTGTGCGTGTGTGTTAATTGTGGGGCTCTGGTGACAGGGGAGAGGCCCAGGTGTTTGTTTATGCTCACACCACCATAAGTGGCCATGCCACTGAGCCGGGCTGGGCTTTAGGACCAGGCGATGGGGGCTTTGTGTACAGAAGCTGCTTGGTGTGCTTACATTTACAGAACTTGTTCAAGTATCGTGCTGCCATGGTGGAAAAAGACCCAAACAAGCCACTGACAGACACAGCCCACACAGGTCTTAGAGGACACAAAACAAAACCCTGTGAGAGGACCTTTTTTTGTTTGCTGTGCCACCCAATGAAAGTTAGATTTAGACATTAGTTAGAGACCTTTGTATCACTTTGCTAGTATATTACGTCCATGGTGAAATGTGGTAAAACTGTAATATGGAATCTATTACAAGTTTTAGAAGAGGTGTGACAGAGATGGTTGAAGGTACTCAGGTACTCATGTCTTTGTTGTTCACATGATATTTATGGATTATGGTTTGTTCACACTGATATAAACCGGAAATTCACTTGAAAGAGTAGGATAAATGTACAATATTCACTTCTTATATCAAATCATTAATCAATATTGATTTGATACACATTTTATAATATGATCAAACCCCTGAATATGACTTGTGACCATGAGCATTAACCTGCGACTGTACGAGCCAGCATTCTCTACTTGGGACAGATTTCCAAAAGAACTGGAAACCTGGCTACTGGGATTTTCCCCCCTTTCAGTCACAGGAGCATTAGTGACATTGGGCACTGTGTTAGGCAAGAAGTCGGCATTCAAATTCATCCAAACATTGTTTGGTGTGGTTGAGGTCAGGTTTCTGAGGAGGGAAACCCAGAACTCCACTCCAAAAAAAAAAAAAACACTCTCATTGGACCTCACTTTGTGCTCTAGAGCAGTTTCATGCTTCCCATAAATGTTTGCCACAAAGTTGGATGTAAATTTGTGTCTAAAATACCATAAAAAAGTTGCAAAATTAAGATTTACTGTAATTGAAACGCAGGAGCCAAACCATAAAAAACAGCACTTGGCCAAAAAGTAAACAAAAGCAAGAGGACGGTCGTTTCTACATACTTTTGGCCTTACAGTGTGCACAGGTCAGATTTCTGCAGAAGGGTCATTTCACATATTTCAGACACATTACTGTGACAAAGTGAGAGATTATAACAATGTGCAGGCACTGAAGTTGCCTCAGCTCATGTGTTACATGATCCGTCCTGATGGATGCAGCAGAACAATGATCTGCCCTTTTTAATAAATGTGTAGGAATAATCCCTTCCACATGCCACTAAAGTAAAAAACAATGGAAAATTTACTGCAGTTAATCTTTGATTGGAGCAAATACTGCAGTTATGTCTATATAACCTGAGCTGCAGACAGTGTCTGGCTGTTTAGTTCGTCTGGGCAGCTTGGCTTAAACGCTTGGAAGACAATACATGCTTTCATGGGAACAACTCACTTTTACAGTCCAGCCATAATCAATCAATATCTTCATGTAACACACAACAAATAATACTTGCACACAACTGAAGTACATGCATTGCTTATTTAACTGGCTACAACATAGTAAACTTTGGAAAAGCATATGTATATCAACTCAATACATTAAGACAATAACCTTCAATTAGTCGTCGACATACAACCTTTGTATAACTGATTAGACAGATGTACTACACGCCAAAACTTTCCAAACCTATCCACCAAAATTAGTTTCTAAATTAATCTGAGGCGGGAACTATTCCATGCAGCTGCAGCGTCACGCCTCATTTTACATGTAAAATACAACGTTTTACCAACTGCAACAAGATTCCAGGGGTTTGCAAAAAAGCGTGAGTTAGTTTGCTGACTCGTCCAGTGTATGAGCAAACTGATTACAATCTGAGCCCAGATGTTAAGTTTATCATGAAAAGTGATCCTTATTTACAGTTTGAAATATTTCACATGAATAAATGTATAATAAACTTAACATTTCACTAAATATTTCAGATTTTAACCTCTTAAAATCAGGCCCCTGCTTGAAAAAAAGGTTAATTTCTGCAACTACGGGGTCTATATGAATGATTTTATATAAAAATAACAATTATGACATTTCTGAAGAGGTGTAAGCATTAGTATAGATGTGGTATATATAGATGCTAGGTCAGCGTAAATAATGATGGAACACAACATAAATGAAAGACAGAAAATCTGAAATTGTCTGAAAACTATATTCATATAATCTTGCAGCTGAGCACTACAAAGTTTTTCATCAGTAGAAAGTGTATTATTTGAATCCGTGCAGGCAGTTTTCACCGTGTCTTTGAGTCAGACATCATGGTTTTCTTAATTTCTTCTGCACATTAATAATTAAGCTTCAGTTTAGAGGTCAGACTAATGTTCTTATGCAGTATTTAGAGAATAAAATTAACTACTAGATGCATACATTTACACAAACCTACATTACAAATACACCATGGACATATCTCTGCTGCTGCTTTGCCTCCATCAGTAGACTTTGTGCAGATGACACAGATTCATCAGGGGAGAAACAGAACGAGGTAGATGAAACACAAAGAGATTCTTTCTTGTTGAGGCGTACTTAATATTTTAAAGTCGGGGAGCATGTGCTGTCGAGCACCACTTGTGCATCTACGTCATAAAAACATTGCACGATAACTCATATTCACGTACACGCAAACACATGCACAGCTGGAAGTTCTCAGGCTGAATCTCCATTTTCTACCACATTGAAATTCGTGAAAAAACATTATTTCCCTCGAGCTGTACGGAGATTATCAAAACATAAGGTCACAGTAATCAAATAGTAATTCTGCAGAAGACAGTCTCTGCACAGATCACAGTAAATTATGCTGAAATTATTCACTTAGTAATCATCACTTGGATAATAAATTAAAACTGTGTTTATTCAAGACTTATTGCATTAATGTGATTAACGGGCTAAGTAAAACAACAGCAGAAACAAACACAGCCTTTATTTTACTAGCTTTGCGGTAATATGTGGCTAACTACCTCTGCATCCATCAACAAAGTCCACCACACATATATTGTATGACGTGCACATGCACAAAGAAACCCATGAATACATGTTAACACTCATCCCTAAACACATAAACTGTAGCTGTCCCTGTCCTACAACACTGTTACTCCCCAAAAATGCACAAAAACTGTTATAAGACCTAAATACCATGCAGTTTCCATTATATCACATGCACACAGGTCAATATCCATGAAACTTTTATGTAGCCTGAGTTCTTTGCTATCTTCAGCACTAATGTGCTGAGAGTTTATATGTGTCTTAGTTATTCAGGTTAATGTGTTCGCCTGTGGGACATATTTCCATTCTGGCTCCCTTTGCACACATATCTTTTTCCTAACTGCTGTACCATTACTATTCACTCACACTGCTGTCTACAGCCACATACACTGCTGAGACCAAATCTCATAATCTTCAGAGTTACACGTCATTCTTCTTAGCAGTTGTACCACAGCCACGAACAACTCAAGTGCAAATTTGGCCATAATTAGTATAATGAAACTCAAAAATCTAGGGGTTTGCTTATAACATAGAAATTATACAGCAAGCATGGGACATCATTTTCTAAATGAACAACGTGAGCAAAAGTCAGGGTCTGATGACAAAGTGGGTGTCTGCTGGAATACAAAATAAGAGTGAGACCGAGGCTGAGTGAGACCGAGGCAAAGATCCAGGACTGGGCTCAGGGGGGCACTGGCCACTTGTAAAATCTGATTGGCCACTGAAGAGCCCCAGTCCTGTCAATAGTCTTTTTTTAATATAAACTAGTCACTTACTAACAATATACTAACAATAAAAAGGACAATTTGTAAAGAGTTTTTATTTCTGGGCTTTTCTGGGGAACACAATGAGCTTGAACCAGGAATATATTCAATGATGTGTGGCTTTGAATCAAAGCTATAGAGCTACCAGTAAAGACGGAATGACTTAAATGTGGAAATACTGTATCAGGAATTGTGCTGGCCCCTCTGTGTAAATTGTGGCCTCCGATTTAGAAAAATCCTACATCCACCATTGAGTGAGGTGTCAGTCAGTTATAGTTCGGCTACCTGCAGGTGAGTGTTTCATGGTAGGGTTTGATGCTGGCGCTGCGATCCCTACGGACAGGCCCAGGCTCTATGGTGGGCATGCCTGTGGCGGAGGTGGTGGTGGTCCACGTGGAAGAGATCCTCCTCAGAAGACCCGGGTGGAGACTTCGCCTCAGACGCTGCACACACAGACAGGAACATTTATGCACACACACCACTGAAAAATCCTTCTAATCACTGTAAAAGAAATTAATCTTATCTCCACCCACGATTAACTGCAGGAGTCAAAAAACATGTCTGTAATTGTATCTGCATTGATATAAAAGCTCTTAAAGACATCATTTATACTTCTTAGCCTGTCTCCAGTCAATTGGATCATCTAGATTAGTTGTTTTTCCTAAATCTGCCCGAGATGAAGCAAATGATGCAGGTGATATCACTTGGAAAATGTTTGTTCATTTTATTCAGAGAATCATTACTGCCACCATCATTGACTGGGGATATTGGCAGGCAGCTGTGCCAAGACTGATGCTCATGGTACATTATTACATCCAATTTCACGATTTGCATTGCACAGATACATTTCATCACCGGAATTCTGCAAGCGTGAGTCTATTTTGTCTGGTTCTCTGGGTCGCTTTCATTATTTGTCTTTTCTTAGCTTTCTCTGTGCGATTCCCAGCGGTCTGTGCCCTCGCAGCAGCAGCAGCAGCAGCAGCAGCAGCAGCAGGAGAAGCTTGGCACAGCAGCGCTAAACATGGCAGCCTCTCTCTCTCTGTCTCTCTCTCCCTCTCTCGGCCCTCTGCAGGGTGACCTAGTAAAGATCGCCTTGGAATCCTGAATGAGCCCATTCACAGTGAGACGTCATACACTGCGTACACTCACTCATACGGGGTGTTGGTAAGGTCACTTTAGGGGACATATCGCTGACTTGCACTCATCTTGGAGCCGTCATACATATACAAAGACAACACCCATGCACAATTGCTGCATATGATTACACACAGATGCAATTATGCACCACAAAATTGCATATATTCATAGACCAGGGTGTACAATGTGTTTTGCAGAGTATAATACTAAAATTGCATGAAATTATGGAATTAACTTTCTAATATGAAAGTGGAACAATGGTACTGTGGTGTGATTTTGTTCCATTCTTTAATGAAGGCCCTGCAGACACACACCAAACGACCACAATACAGAATCTTACACACACTGTTTCACCATCAGCGATTGCTTGAGAAAACCAGGTCATCCTCACAAAAAATACTGCTGATCCCTGCTGCTGTCAATGTGTGATTCAAGTTTATGACCTGACTCATTTCTACCACTGTTTAAATAAGAAAAGTGAGATCAGTCTAACCTCAAATGTTTTGCAAGTAGCTGAATCTCATTCATGTTTTTTAGATGTCCGTACAGCACGTGCTTCTGACGCAGTGGTATTTTTGCAGCACACAATAAATGCGTTTTGGGAAAGTGCTTGAAAGGCATCAGTATGCAACACGATGGACATCAAACTCTTAGCCAGCAGCCAGAAAAGCAAGCACAAGGGTTTTCATTCCTCCACTAACCGCCTTTGCTGCTCCTGCTATATTCTCCCCACAGCCAGTTAAGAGCCGAGGAAGCCGTCTCTGGGGAGTCGTAATGAGTGCAGGCTCACTGGCCCCTCTACGCAGTTTGTCTTAGCTACTTTTACAAAGTTCAGACGATGTAAAAAATACACCTGTCCAACGAGCGACGGCACAGCAGCCATCGTCCACACACCAGCGTCTGAGACAGCCAGGATGGGTATCTTCCTCAGGTAATAGTCTGACCCCATAATAGGGGTAAGGACCCCCTTTTTTTGAGGCTGAATCTTTGTAACCATATGAGAAATGTGTTCACCATCATGTTGCCTCTTCTCTTCTACTCAACTCACTCACACTCACACACACACACTGTGTCTGGCTCTGCACATCTGTCGTGTTGACACAGCTGTGGCTATATGAACAGTGCTCCGAGCAGTAGACGTGCTCTATTTTTCTTCACTCAACTCTATGAAATACGCTCCTTCATTTGATGCTAAAAGCTCTGAGAGCAGGAAACACTCATTAGCTGAAACATGGGCTAAAAGATTAACATGTGTGGGGAGTACTGTGTGGTGTATAAATCATTTAGCCTTATTAAGGTGGACCACATTTCCATCTAAGGATGATTTCAGCAGTTTCCAAATGCAATCATTCTGGGTCTGCGTCTCGACCACCTTTGATGAACAATTCTGACTTTTAATGTTGAGTTGAAATATCCGCACTTTCATCGGGGCTTCCAAGTGTCTTACCAGTAAAGTCACAACACTTGGCCTTCATTTATTTCTTTACCTTGTGGATGGATGTCTTCTCCCCTTTCTCCGGTCCCTCCTCTGAGTCGGAGCAGGTGTAGGCATCGCTGGGGTTGAGCAGGGGAGCAGGGCGTGGCCGGTGCAACGGCTGGAAGGTGAGCTGGGTGGTTAGCAGGTTGCTGACAGCCCGCAGTGAGGTGCAGGTGTTGGGGGGCAGTGAGGGGTCAGCCAGCAGGTCTGTGATTAGTCCATGAGCCTCTCCCATCACTGCTATGTCCACCATGACTGTGGTGCCTGAGGACTGCGGGGTGAGAGGAAAACAGAGAAACAAAGAAATAACAGTCACCGCTGCTGCAGCCATTGTGGGTAGTTGCTTATTAATGGCGGGGTATGATAGAAGCTGTGCACAGCTTCTGGGTGGAACGCATGAAGGACAGGTACATAAACTATTTCAGCAGGTCCCTTGTGAGAACGAAATGTGATTAACAGTGACATTGGCATAAGTTCTGCCATTTATCCTACAGAACAAAGTTATCTCTAGTTATACATTAGATTATGTTTTCGCATTAAGACTAACTGCATTATCTTTTGCCCTTACGGAAAGTACATTTTTATTGTACTTGAAGCAACACTATGGAACTTTCAGACTTTTTTAATAGCAGCTTTAAAATGTATTAGTTGGTTCACTGAAATCGGAAGAAATAAGGAGAATGGAGCCTTTTTCACTCCCACTCCTAACCCTGAACATCTGTGCTTGCTTTGTGCAACTATTGTGAGTGGATACAATCCTGTGAGAAGTTTGTGACTGACACATCTTAAAGGAATAGTTCACCCAAAAATGAAAACTCATTATCTACTCACTACTATGCTGATTGAGGGGGTGTGTGAAGTGTTTGAGTCCACAAAGCAGTTTGGGAGTTTTGGGGGGAGAAAGCGTTGCAGCCACATCCAATAAAATTGAAGAACCAATTCTTCATATGTGAATAAACAACAGAAAAGATCATACAATGCCTCCATATTGCTCCTGTGGTGTCATCCAAGTGACCAGAAGCCCTAAATCGACCTGAAACTGCATAATTTACACCAGGTTTTTAGTCTAAATGTCCACTGTTGTGTTCCCCAGTTACTTCAATTATATTGGTTTTGGCTGCAACTCTGTTTACCCTGAAACTTTAAGTGTTTTGTGGACTCAGACACTTCACCCATCCCGCCATCAGCATAGTGGTGAGTAGATAATCAGTGAATTATCATTTTTGGGAGGACTATCCCTTTAAGATGCCAGAATCAGGCCCAGCAAGTTGCTGAACTGTAAATCAGTTAAACAGACTTGGAGGTAATTAAAAAACAATGTTTTTTTCAGATAGTCAGAGAGAAAATCTTTAAAATAAGAAGAATTCTGAACAGAGTTTGGTGCATTTGTTACAGCTGTAGCTCCTCTGGCTCAGGGAGCTGAGGATCAAGGGGAATATCCACTGTTCAGTTGCTTATCAGTGTAAGACGCAGTCAGAGCTGCGGTCAACACATTCACAGACTCTGTGTTACATGAAAACCACTTAATCACTCAGACATGGAGCCCAACAGCATAAATCACCATGTGTGGCTGCAGAGGGCGCTGTTGCTCAGTTAAAGTTACATAGTGTTGCTTTAAGTCATATGAACTTTATAAGGTGATAATATGCTAGCAGTGTGTAGGACTCATTGTGCTGCATCATGCAGCCAAAACACATAGAAATTTTGTTGAATTTAATTATACTTAAAATTTTTTATTTCTCTACAGAACTTTAAAAAAACAATACTATGGCTATGAAGTTTCAGCACTAATGGGGATTTTAACAGCAGCTCACAATGTTGCTTTTGCTGATGTCCAGTTATGAACAGGATGCATCAGTGCACCTCAACATCATTGTCAGATGTGCGTCACTCTGTGAATACACGAAACAACCAGAGGTTAGTGCGCTGCTTGAGTACATATTCATGTACAGATAACATAGCAAATAATATTAACACTGATGGGGACAATTCTGTTTTAAAAAATAAATATTTTTATACTTTTCATATTTAGGTGATAATTAAGGTGATACTTCTAACAATTCTGAAATCAGGATTTTTAAGTGATTATTATTACTCTGCTCTATCGCTACATTTACCTTGGTAGAGAATCTGAATACTTCTTTCATCACTAGTCTTTGTGTACTCACAATAAATTATATCACAAGTGAAGCTGATGTAATAAAGAAAATAAACACTGCAACAGTTTGTATGCAAATATAATGTGAGATGCCAATTGCACAGCAATAAAAATTAAAATTCATGCAGAGCTTTGTCCCATGTTGATAGAGAATGTGTTATATGAGGACACTGGCAGTACACACAGCCATGAACAGAGCATCATCAACCAAGCAGCCACGAACGACAAGCAACAAACAAACCAACCAACTGATGAATCAACAAACAAACTAACCAATGCACCCACAAACAACTGAACCAATAAACAAACCAACAAACAAAACAACCAACCAACTAACCAACCAGGGTTGGATCTATCATCTGTCTGTTGATTACGATAAAAAGAGCAATTCTCAAGAGCAATTCCTGGAGGGGACCACCAAACGTACTGTGTATGGTCATCATTATCTTCGATGCCTCTGGCCCTATCCTCTGTGCTGGTGCTGGCAAAAGGCTCCTCATGATGTGCTGGGCCCCTGTCACCTGCCTCTCACTCTGGATCTGACCCTTCCACCACCCTCAATGACCCTGAACAGTCTGTCTCCTAGAAGTGGAATAATGTGCTCACAGTGTCTTTACAAGTCTAAACACGAGAGGGCTTTTACATCACATTTTGAGCTAATGTCTTATAGTAGAAAGTTATGAATTCCGCACACAAAACACTCATTTAAATACTGCTGCCTCTACCATGTTTGCACCTGTTATCATTTACGCAATTATTTTTTGTAGATCACCCACAACGTCCACCAACCAAACATGCATGGTGGCAATACACATGGTCTCACCACAGCAGCAAGAGACAAACCATTCTGGCTTTATCATTTTATTCAGAGACCAGGTGCAAACAAAAACTTAGCGACAAACATAAATCCATTTATTTCTCCTGGCGTCCAGCTTTGCAGCTTGGTAAAGTCTCTTGTGTCGCTTGTGCTCTCACTCTGTGTGTCTCAGTCGCTCTCTCCTCGTGACTCAGCTCAGCTGCTGCCTTTTAAACCTGAGGATCAATCCACTAACAGCTCTCACCTGCACTGATTGATCCTCTGGTGCAGGTGAAGGTGCACCCAGCCCCCTCACCTCCACAGTGTTTTACTCTATTGAGTGGTAGAATTAAAGCAACATGTCTGAAGGGTTGTTGGAGTGTGTGGGCTGTGCTTATGTTTGCAATGATATTGAGAGAGACAATTCTTCGAATAAGGCAGGGACCCCCTACCCCCCCGGGAAATCCGCCCCTTCAACCAACCAACCAACCAACCAACCAACCAACCAACCAACCAACTAACAAAACAAAAACAAAACAACCAACAAATGATCCAACTAACAACCTAAGTAACCAACTACAGAACCAACAAACCTACTTACTCACTGGCAACAGTGTCAAAATCATAAAATGATAGACAGTTGAATTGTGACCTATATTATCACAAGATATAGATTTAATCATAGTGTGAGACTGAGATTCTGCAAAGTTTTTACAGTCATTTATCCTTGAGGTATCACAACAATTATACACACATGTGCAGAGTCTGAACCTTATATGACTCCTTTAAGCCTTTAAGAGGAAGTAAAATCATGAGGAGGAGCAGGGAGTGGTTCCTCACAGTAGGAGTTGTTGCACTCGCAGCTTTTAAAAATACCTCAACAACAACAACATCAGGCTGAAACATATTCAGCAGAGCTGCATATTACTTGATGCTTAATGAATGGTCTCATTACCAATGTCTCAGCAAAGATCTGACCTTTGACTTCCTCGCTCCTGACCTCTGAGACGACCAACAGCCGGCGTCTGTTCCTGACTGTCTGCTCCGCAGTGGTGTGAGACGGCCTTGTTTTCACAGGGTAAAGTGAAAAGTTCACAACCCTCTCTTAATTGCTGGGCCTAGAGCAGCTGAACAACCACCAGATAAACACAGGTCAGTCTAAGCCAGTTGATTTATCTAATAAGCTGAAAACTTGCCCTTTTTCTTAAAAGAATGTTATCAGATTTTTCTCCTCCAATGTCCTATTCACTTTGACACCAGCTGCCAGGCACCCAGAATGATTCTGTTTACACTGGCTAAGTGGCAGAAGGTTGACCTGAACAACACGTGTTCGCTCCAAAAATGTGTGTTCAGCAGTGCGAGGACATTCCCCTACACATCAAATCTGACATGACCAGCATCGGGACCAAACTAATCTCTTTTAAAGACAAGAAGACATCCGGAGGGACATCTGATGGAACATTTCTGGACAGATGACTATTGTACTCCTGTCATCCCTCCCCTCCTCTTCATCTTCTGGTATACTTCTCCCTGCCCTCCTTCCTATACTCTGCTCTGATACCTGCTGTGAGGACTGAATGTAAACACCTGTCTCTCAGCTCATTTACACGCTGATTTAGGAGTTTGTTAAATGGGGGTTAAAGGAGAACATGGCTGCTGGAAAACATCTGTCTGGACAGAGACAGCAGTAGGGGCTGCACAATATGGCCAAAAATTATATCTAGAAAAAAATATTTATATCACTTGATGCCGATAATTTTCACGATAAATGTCACATTATTATTTCTTTAACTTTAAAGACTGACTTTTGCTCCTGTGAAAAGGTTGTGAAAAGATTTTGCAATTGCAATATCTGTGCTGTTTTAATGCTCAGCCTTAGTCTGAGCATTTCTTGGTGCGTTTGTCCAGGTATTACTCATGTTGTGGGGACCTAAATCTGTTTACACATAATGGGGGACTTGTCTTCCTTTATTGGGACAAAAAACATGTCTCTAGGATATCAATGTAAGCAAATGTAATGTCCTCTGAAGGGAGTGTTTGTGTGTGTGTGTGTGTGTGTGTGTATGTGTGCGTGTGTGTACACAAACATGCAAATCTTTAGCCTCTTACAACTTAACCCCTACTTCTCAAACAGCCAACTCATGAGCCAAGTAAAAATATTAGTGACATATACAGAGGTTGACACAAAAATACACAGTCACACTGGCACATAAACAAATACAAAGGGGTATTATCCTGAGTGTGCAGCACAGAGACACACGTGTGCACCCAGATAAACACACTGTGCAAGCAGGATAAGCATTGCGTCACTAAGCTC